TTTTTTCATTGAGGGTCACGGGGTTGCTCAGAGGTGATGCTTCCTGAGCTGCACCCGCAATGCACGCTCCGGCCACACAATGTGATGGCGGAGGAGACCTCTTACACGCGCGCACATGCCTACCAAGCCCAGCTACACTCTATAGATAATGAAAATACATAAAAATTATTTAGTAGAGAGACCGGGCATGGTGGTGGTGCCTGTAGTCCAGCTACTCGGCAAGGCTGAGGCAGGAGAATGGCATGAACCGGGCGGGCGGAGGCTTGCAGTGGTGGAGATTGCGCGCACTGCACTCCAGCCTGGGCAACAGAGCGAGACTCCGTCTCAAAAAAAAAAAAAAAAACAAAAAAACAACCAAAAAACTTTTGTACTTGGTTAACCGTTGACCCTGCCTCCTTTTTAAAAAAAAAAAAAAACGCAGGAAGCATTTAGTGTGATTTCAGGGCGCCTCCCAAAGTGCTGGGATTGCAGGACAAAACTCTATACACAGTCGCTTTGTCCTCAGGATGTTGAGGTAGGGATTCCCAGCATACCCCTTTTACATGTGAGAAAACTGAGGCCAGGAGGGAAAGTCACTGGTCACTCTAACTCCTGTCAGGCTTACCACCCTATGAGGCGGGGACTGCTGTGCTCTGCTGTCCACTTTGCAGAGGGACACACACTCCAGCAGGCCAGTGAAGGGAGGTCAGAGGTGTCAGGGCTGTGGAAGTCTGGGCCTGGGTAGAGAGCCACACCTGGAGGCTGCCAGACCCCTTGGGGGCAGGGAAGGAAGCTGGCTCTGGTTTGTCCACAGCTCTTCTGGGCTCCACAGAGCTCAGGGACCGTGTGGCAAGCAGGTGCAATTGGGCCTGATGGCCGGGGAGGGGCTGACTGTGGGCAGTGGGGGGTTGGAGGCTCATGGCTGGTGGGTAAAGGTGGAAGAGGTTAAACGCCCTGGCAGAGTGAAGCCAAGCCGGGTGGCAGAATTGCCACCTCCCCTGGCCGCACCCAGGCGGAAACCTTGAAGGCCACTCCCTTCCTCTGTTCCTTGACCCAGGTTCCAGGCCCCTCCAGGTCGGCAAACAGCTAAGCTTCCCTGCTCAGAATCTAGGACAGCCTGGATCTTCTCTAGACCCAGCTTGAACCCTTATGTGACCTGTGTCCACTTATGATCAGGCACTGCCCTGGGTTTAGACAGCCAGGTCACAGCCCTGACCTCCACGGACTGTCCAGTCTGTGGGTGGACAGGCATGACCAGGGCTTTGAGGACAGTTGTCAGACGTGGGAGGCAGTGCTTCCTAGGTCTCTGAGAGGGATTTGAGAACCGTCCCAGGAAATCAGCTGAGGTCTGAAAATTGAGGGGAAAACATAGGGTGTAGAGAGGAGAGCAGGAAGGGCAGCTCTCTGGTGTCCTAATGGACCTTGAGGCCTGGGGCTCTGGTGAGGAGCTGACACATTTAGGATGGGGAAAGTGATAGGTCTGGGAGGAATTCAGGAGGCGAGGCAACAGGACTTGGTGACTGAGCAGGTTTTCTACCCAGTGCCTCAGTTTCCCTTTTGCTACCTAGAGGAGATACACCCTCCCTGCTAACCTGAGCCCGTGAGCTTGACCCAGGGCATGTGGAAAAATGGCCCGTCCCCCAGTCTCTTTAACCACTGAGTTTGGAGTTCTCCCGGGTAGATCATCTCGCTGTAAGGAGCCTGGTGAAAACTCTGGGATCAGTGAGACCTGAGTTCGAACCCCAACTCCACCACCAGCTCTTTTTTTTTTTTTTTTTGTGGCGATGGAGTCTCGCTCTGTCAACCAGGCTGGAGTGCAGCGGTATGATTTCGGCTCGTTGCAACCTCTATCTCCCAGGTTTAAGCAATTCTCATGCTTCAGCCTCCCGAGTAGCTGGCATTACAGTGCACGCACCACCACGCCCAGCTAATTTTTGTATTTTTAATAGAGATGGGGTTTCACCATGTAGGCCAGGCTGGTCTCAGGGACCTCAAGTGATCCACCTGCTTCGGCCTCCCAAAGTGCTGAGATTACAGGCATGAGCCACCGCACCCAGCCTCTGCCACCAGCTCTGTAGCCTCCTCTTAGTTCCTTTATCTGTAATCTGGGGAGTGCAGTAGCACCTGCCCAGTGGGGCTCTTGGTGAGCCCAGGAACTGCCACACTCTGAACCGCACTTGTACTAGGGTCTCAGTAACCAGCAGCCGCCAGTGTGGTTCCTACATCCCAGGACTTCACCCGTCTCCTGCGCATCACAGCCAGTGGCTGCTGTGCTCTTGGAGGAAGGTCCAGCCTCCAGCTTCCCAGGCTTCATTTGCATCCCTCTCGCAGGCCCCAGCTCAGGCTCGTGCCCACCCACCAAGTTCCAGTGCCGCACCAGTGGCTTATGCGTGCCCCTCACCTGGCGCTGTGACAGGGACTTCGACTGCAGCGACGGCAGCGATGAGGAGGAGTGCAGTGAGTGGCCACGCCTCAGGGCGGGGCTTACAGGGGGCGGGCCTGAGGATGGGCTCTTAGGGGCCAGTCTCGCGGAGGTGGAGCTTGTGGGAGAGGCAGGGCCACAGGGATAGGTGCGACTTGAGTCTGTGGGTCATAAGAAGAAGCGGGGTCTAAGATGAGCTTGAGCTGGGCCCAGTGGCTCATGCCTGCAATCCCAGCACTTTGGGAGGCTAGGGTGGGAGGATCGATCACTTGATCCTGGGAGGTTGAGGCTGCAGTGAGCTAGGATTGTGCCAGTGCACTCCAGCCTGGGCAACAGATTAAGACTCTGTCTCAGGAAAAAAAAGAAAGAAAAAAAAAAAAAGAAAAAGGAAAGAAAGGAAGAAAGAAGGAAAGAGGGAGGAAGGGAAGGAAGAGAGGGAGGGAGCCAGGTGCGGTGACTCACACATGTAATCCCAGTACTTTGGGAGGCCGAGGCAGGCGGATCACTTGAGGTCAGGAGTTCGAGACCAGCCTGGCCAACACAGTGAAACCATCTCTACTCTCGGCCACGACCCCATCAGGACGGTCCGCTCGCACCCGGCGCCAGCGCTCGCACTCTGACCCCTTCGCCTGTGGGGAACCATGTATGGACGAGGGTATAGTGAAGGGGCGGCAGAGCCCCTTCCACCCCACCAAGCTCCGGCCATCCACGGGGATACGAGTTCTGGCCGCTCATCCTCCCCCCACCTCCCTCGCATCTCCCCTGCGACGCCTCTCCCTTCCCCCAGCGTCGGCGGGCGCTCTCATCTTTACAGCCAGCTGCAACTCAATCCCTAGCCCCACGTACTCCTTTCTCACCCGACTCGGTCCCCGCCGCGCGAAGCTGACCATCCCCGACCGAGGGACACTCTCTGCCCTCCCGTGCGTCACCGGGGGCCCCCGTCGCTTGTCCCTCCTCTCTTTCGCCGTCTTCGCGTCCTGCACTCAGCCCAGCGTTCAGGTAGCCCTGCGACCCGGCACTGCAGCGCGCATCGGAGTGGGCAGTGTGCCCCCCAGCGGCACCTTCGCGGCGTCTTCTCCTCCACACGCAGCGCCCTGGGTGAAGTCTGACCTGCTGCCGTCTACTCATGTCTTCTTTGTTCTTGTTGTTCCCTCGGACCGCGAGTCCCTGGCTCTGTCACCCAGCCTTGGCCGGCCAGTGGCCCAGCGTATCGGCCACCTGCACCTCCCACCCCTCCCTCCGAGTTTCAACGCTTCCCCTGTCCAGCTCGCCGTCCAGTACTCCCGGCTTCACGGCTGCCCCCCGCTCCGCTCACTGATTTTTCCGCAGAACTGGGCGCCGTTCCGCTCCACCTGCTGTCGCTCGCCTCGTCCTCCTCCCTCGGTGATCCGCCTGCCCTCGGCCCGCTCCCCCAACTGCGGATTCACTAGGTGTTAGCCCCTCCCGGCGCGCCCTCGGCTTTTTTCCTTTTTTTTCCCTTCTCTGAGATGGAGTTTCGCGCTCTGTCAGTCCGCGCCCTCCGCATCGGTGTCGCAGTACGCACCATCTCAGCTCTCGCCTCCGCCCTCACCGCTTCCTCGATTCTCCAGCCTCAGCCCTCCCTGAGCCTCCTTGGATTTCCACGGCTGTGTGCCCCCCCACGTCCTACTCGATACACCTTTTTTGCGTCACTTCCTCTTCGTAGTCAGACAGGGTGTCGCAATGTCGGACAGTTGCGTCTCAGCAATCCTGACCTCAAATGATCTGCCGCCTTGCCTCCCAGCCGTGCTGGCTCACAGGCTCCGAGCCCCCCCCGCCCCGCCCCTCTGCTCTCTTCGCTCCGCCCTGCCTCCCGGGCCCCGGCCGGCCAACGTGCATGTGTCTACACCCTGCCCCCGAGCCCTGGCCCCCCCGCCTCGTCAGCCCGGCTCTGCCATTCCTACCCACCCCCTACCTCCCGCGCAGAGTGCGTACACTAGCGACGTTCTCATCCCTGGATCCGCCCGCGCTGGTGGCCGTCGCGCGCCCGTGATGGAGAGGCAGTCATCGCTCGCGTCGTCATACCGCACGCTTCCCTGCTGCGCCGGCGCGCTGCAGTTCGCGCGTTTCCTTTGCTCGTTCTTCGGCGCGCTATCGCCCTGACCCCGTCGCAGCCGCCGCCGGTCTCCGCCCCCGGGGCAGCGGAGGCAGGGCGCGGCTGGGCATTGCCCGTTCTGGGTACGACGGCTGCACACCCTCGGGCCAGGCTTGGATCAGGGCTCCCAATCCCCCCCAAGAAGGCCCAGGTACTCCCTGCACCCCGCTCCCCTCGCGCAAGCCACCCTCCTTAGCGACGCGCCATGAGCCCCCAAAAAATGCTTCTTCCTCACAGGCTTCTCCGCCTCCTGCACCGTTAAACTCCACCTCTAAAGGCGCAGCACGCGCCTTCCTGCAGTCCCTTCCCTAATGCCCCTCACTAGCTCTACCCTGCTTCCTACAAGCCACCTTTACTCTTTGTTTTGTCTTGTTCTTTTCTTCGAGCGGAGTCTCGCTCTTGTCCACATCCAAGCTGGAGTGCGTGCCCGGATCCTCCGCCTCCTCTGCAAGCTCCGCCTCCGGTTTTAGGCATTCCTCTGTCTCAGCTCCCAAGTAGCTTGGGCTACCGGGCACCCCACATTCTCCTGCATCCCTCACCTTCGCCTCCAGCCTAGCCTTTTTTGTATCTGTTTCTAGTCGAGATGGGGGTTCCTCCCCCCGTGGTTACGCCCGGAGGTCCCTTGATCTCTGCCCCTTCTCTCGTATCCCCGTCCGTCTCTCCGCCTCTCAAAGCTGCTGGATCTGCCGGCTTCGCGCCCGCCCGCCTGCCTTCTTTTTTTTTCTTTTTTTTTTGAGACTGGAGTCCTCCCTTACCCCCCCGCCCAGCGCTGCAGGTGCGCCGTGGCCGCAATCTTGGCGCTCCGCAACCTCCGCCTCCCAGGGTCAGTCTTCTCCCTTGCCTCAGCCTCCCTGACCCTGGGCTTATCGAGCTGCGCCACTTCCGGCTAACTTTTTGTATGTTTCTTAGTAGC